CAAAAGAATTATATGGGCAAGTTGGCAAGGTCCCTGCTGTGAACGAAATCATCTATCCGTCTCAAGATGAAGATATTCCAACATACACCTATAAAGAAAACCACTGCTAAGGTAAGTGATTAGCATCCTGGTGTTATTTTGAGCAATTATTCATGTTGTAAACCAACGTATATGTGTTCTCTATTTTCTCACAAATGATTTTCATTGTACATATTAGTAAGAGTATGTCAAATATTTTTTCCTCTCTGCATAAGAGAGTAAAAAGCAGTAATTAATATTTAAGTCAATAAATAAGTCTAGAATAAGTGAATTTGTAGTTATTACATACATTTCAGAACTATTTTTTATACAGATAACATTTTTAGAGATATAATTTAGTGTAATTTAGGAGTGTAAGTCATTTATATCTGGGAAATTGTTTTGGAAATGTTCTTCGAAGAATAAAAATGATTGCTGCTTTTCATTTGAATAACATAAAATTTAAATGAAGTTTCCTAAGTCAAACATAAAAACTAGGGAAAGAATGCATGAACCATACTTTTATGAGTAAAATTATAACCACATAGAAATATTTGGTAGACCTCTAGCCAGTTTTTGTTTACTTTTTTTTTAGGTTTCATTTAGTGTGTAGTTAATGTGAAAAAGTTGAATTTGAGTTTTCTCTCACTATTTTTAGCTTAGATTTTATATGTAAATCTCTAAGTAGTATAGTACTATTTTGTAATGAACTGAAAACTTCTGGTGAGTTTATTGCTACAGTCTTCCAGATTATACAGAAAATCTATTTGTGATTTAAATAATGTCGTTAGCCTGTAGAGGTCTATGGAAACTTAAGGTAAGATGTAGCTTTCAGAAGATAGTAAAAGCCTAAGGAAGAAAATGTTTTCTTTATTTTTCTTCTCTACATTGGAAGAATTAATAGGATTTGCAGTTTACTCTGAAAACATGCCATCATCTATGTCTGAAAGTAATAATTTATTCTTTACATATATGATACGAATATATGCTATGGATATGAGCATATCTATAAACATTTGCCTGAAAACTTTTCATCATAGAGTTTCGGAAAAAATGTTATTATTTCAATTGGTATGACTTCATTTACATGAAATGCTGTTATAAAAGTCATAATTTTAATATCAGAATACAAAGTGTCTTAAGTATTATCCTTAAGTACATACCTAGTCCGAAATATAAAGCTCATCTATAAGTTTTTTATTAGGAAAGATGATCGATAGCTTATTAATGTATGAAAAAAATGTAAATATAGGCAATTTGAGAGTTTTTTCTCTATTAATATGAAGGATTCTGGTATTATTTGGTGTAAAAGGTCATAGTGGTAAGTATAATAAATAATCCCTAGATAGGATACTCTCTGGTAGACACTTTCTTTATAATTACTAAATTGGTAGTTACAACCTTTTTGTAATGTGTTTGGTATATGAATACACTATTATGTTCTAGATATTTTAGTTTTCTCCCGATTTTACTTTGTCCTTGAAGTTTTAGTATTTTGTATCTAGAAATAGTTCAATCCTTTTGAAATATTGGCTCCAGTTCAACTCAACTTTCAAATTTAAGTATTCTGGTAAAGGAAATTAATATAAATATGTCAAAAAAAGTGTAAAGACCCCATATGCATATGTTAGAAGTATATGTTCCATTTGCACTAATGGAAATTATTTATAATTTTAGAGATCTGTTTTTTCTCTAATGATCCTTTGTAATACTTATCTACATTGAAGCAAATGTACTTGTTCTCATCTGATTATAAGGGAAAGCATCAAATTGTTTCCTAGGATAAGGGTGTCTTATTTAAGATCTTAAAAATATAGAACAGTTGATTTATTCATAAAAGGAAAGAGTTTATTTTGTTTTACTATTTGAGTTTTGCTTTTTAAAATTTGTTTTGGCATTTTTGGAAAAAAAATACATGCATTCTGTAGCATTAAGCTACAGTTATTTATAGTAACAAATTTAGTAAAAGAAGAACTATCATGTTGACAGAGTGCCATAGGCACTTACTATTTTTTTTTTTTTTAATCTGGGCAAGTTTCTCTTCGGTCTTGAGATTTTTGTGATTAGTATCTTCAATTTGTCAACTTGGGGTTCATATTCAAAGTTGGTAGGTGGAAAAGTTGACAAAACATTTATGTTTGTTGTATGGTTTGCTTATTTAGTAAATGTTTTGAGTACTGGAATAGGTGATGGAGATACAATTAATTCAGAAGAAATATTCAAAGACAGCAGAAAAACCAGGGGAATATTTCAAAGGGATGATTGTGTTAAGGAGAAAGTCTTTGATGCTTCTCTATTTGCACGTGATAAGTAGAAGGACAGTTGCTGAAATGTATGTGGTTATTGAAATATATCTGACATATATAAATACACACATTAATATAAAGTACATATTGATATATTTTACTTTTTCTGTACTGAATCTCTGAAATCCCAGGTTAATTTTATTCTTACACCTCAGTATGGACTAGCCACACTTTAAGGGCTCAATATCCACATGGTGCTAGTGGCTACTCTTGTGGGTATTGTGTCTCTAGATTGTCCTGTCTCATCTTTAAGATCATGGCTTCTCATTTCTCAGGGAATCTTTCTGTACTTCCCCAGGCCTGTTGGTTTCCTTTCATCCTCAGTTTTATAGAATCATATTCCTTTCCTTTAGAGCACTTACCATCGTTGTAAATTAATCTTTAGTCAGATAGTTTGATGCTGTCTCATCCACAAATACAGGCGTGGATGTTTCCATTGTATTTCCAGTCTTTATACACAACTGGTGCTCAATAAGTAGAATTTGACATAATGAATTTTGCTGAGGACTGTAAGGTAACTTGAACCAGAGTCACAAATTTAATTTTAGATCAGGCACTAAATTTTTGCAAATTAACTTTGCTGGGATGAGAATGTATAAAATATCACAAATATGAGAAGTAGTTTTAATTGTAAATTGTTCACTTGTAATGATGTTTTTCTAGGTGATAGCTCTTTGAGCTATCACATATTTTTAAATAGGAAGCTTTTAAAACAGACTTGATGGTGAAACAGGGTTTAATAATTCAAATTTTTACTTAAATTTTATGGTCATTCATGTTGAAAGTTATGACTGACTTAAATTATTATAAAAGTAAATATTTAAAATGAATGAAGATTTTAGATAAACTTCATTGAAAATAGTCTTTCTCTTTTTAAAGAATGCTTACTATGAGTTTGATAAAATGATTAAACCACCTGATCCACAGTATCTAATTACTTGAAAGCCAACAAATCATATAAATTATATTTTGGCCATATTTTAGATAATCATATGTTGTAACATAGTCTTGAATATAAAAGATAAATTAAACATCTTCCCTATTGTAGCTTAATTTACACTTTTATGTGTGCTATGCACGTGGAAAAATGAGGTAACTCTTAAAGAGTTGGATAAGATTTCATTGCAAAGCTAATATTTGAACTGTATCTTGAAGGGATTGTAGGCATTTATCAAAGGAACAGCACATCCACAGATACAGTGTTTCAAAAACACTTTATAATAGTTCCTCTAAGGCAATTAGGAGCAAATAATTCAACATAGTATGTGTTGGTAGGGGCAGAGCCAGGAAATGATTCTGGAAGGACAACTTGACAATGGCGTCATACAGAGCCCACATGACTTTCTAAGGAGCTTGAACCTATCCTGCCTGCCCTGTAGGGAGCAAAATAATGGAAGAGGGACCTTAAAGTGTGAGCAGTGAGGAGGCAGTTACAGTAAAAGAAATAATGGGGCATACACTACCTTAGTGTGGGGATATGGAGAAGAGATTATAGGGTGTACACTGTTCACTCACCCCCACCCCAACCCCCTCAACCCTTCCCATCCCATCCCCACCCTACTGCACTAAGAGGACAGGGTGTAATTCTGGCAAATTCTTTAACTGTCAAGGATCCTAATGTGTCTGTATTTTAATGAAAACTTACCGCGTAATAAGTCTGTTAATTACCAAAGGATAGGATATGCTTACCAAGTATAAATGATTGTGATTCAAGCAGTGTCATTTTCCACTGCATGCTGAAACTTTTAATGTAAATTACTTTTTCCTTAAATGAGAGCCTGATTTTGCTGTGTGGTCATATTAATTTTAATTTACTTAAGAGTGAAAGGATATTTCATTAATTAACTTTAAAAATGATTACATGTTTTAGTGTATTGAGGTTGTAACTATGCTATATGTTAGAGACTATTTTCAGCTTTGTCAGAACTTAAGGACTAAAGTAGAATTCTAAATAGGAACGTTTGTAAAATCACAGCTCTTTAGGCCATGAACCAACACTGTAACCAGAACAGGTGGTCAGGATAAAATGCCTTTGCTCTTAAACCATTTCTCTTCTATGCGTTGCCCAGGGAGACCATGGGGGCCAAAGCAGCAGTAAGGAAAATTATTATTCGTTCTGCTCTCTGTCCCAGTCCTATAACATAGTTCTGCTAAAATTTATTAGGAAAATCTCCCTAATCTTAGTGGTTGCAAGATTATATGGTCACACGGGTATCTTCCTGACAAAGCTTTGCTGTTAATTGTAACAAAAATGTCACACAGATGAATTCCGCACCAGCCCTTCCCATTCCCAGTGTCCCCTCAGTTTTTTGTTCTTTTTTGAAAGGGCAGTGGAAAGTGAAGCCTTTTTTTCTCTCTCTTTTTCTTTATCATTTGTGTGATGTCACAAGATTGGTGTTGTGATGGGCTTTTCATTATATCCATTTTTTTAAGCCTTAAGTGAGGTTTCAGTGTGGCAAAAGTTTAGGTTAATGTTTTTAAAATATTTATATTACATTGATAATTATATATTTAATCAGTACTAAACTTCATAAGTGTGATATTTAAATCAAATTTCATGTTTTATCCTTGGAATTAATTTTGGCAACTTCACTACTTCAAAGAACTGGATTATGTTAAATTTTTTATCTAATATTTTGTTTAAATGAATTAAAATATATTTGTCTTCCCATGCAGATTTGAGTTCTGTGAACCTGCATTTGTGGTTGGCAATTGCCTCCAGATAGCATCTGACAGTCATCAGTATGATCGAATTTATTGTGGAGCTGGAGTCCAGAAAGACCATGAAAACTACATGAAAATATTACTGAAAGTTGGAGGCATTCTAGTGATGCCTATAGAAGATCAGGTAACTTCACCATCCTTTTGCTTAATGGCATAGAAAACAAACGCATCAGTTTAAGATGGGAAGTGTCTAACACCAGTAAAGGTACAATGTAATTTTTAAAGAAGAAATAATCTTCATAGATCTATATACATTAAAAAAATTGAAATGGACTCTTAATTATCTAACCAGAGGAGATATAGAAAACTCCACTACTATTAGAAGAGACTTGGTCTTTCACCCAAACTTAGCTACAGTCTTTGTGTTACAATAGTCCCCCCTTATCCTTGGTTTCACTGTCTGTTGTCTCAGGTACCTGTGGTCAATCATGGTCTGAAAATATTAAATGGAAGTTTCCAGAAATAATTCATAAGTTTCAAATTGTGCCACATTCTGAGTAGCATGATGAAATCTTGAGCCTTCTCACTCTGTCCTGCCTGGGACATGACTCATCCCTTTGTCTATCATATCTACACTGTACACTATCTGCCCTTTAGTCACTTAGTAGCATCTCAGTTATCACATCGACTGTTGAGGTAATGCAGTACCTGTATTCAACTTATTTTTCTTAATAATGGCCCAGAGCAGTGATGCTGTCAATTTGTTTAGGTCAAAGAGAAGCCATAAAGTGCTTCCTTTAAGTGTAAAGGTGAAGGCTCTTGACTTAATAAGGCATTGTATTATTGTACATTATCACAACATGAATGGTGAGTACAATTCCATAAGGTATTTTGAAAGAAAGACCACATTTACATAACATAACTTTCATTATAGTATGTTGTTATAATTCTGTTGGTTGTTTTTTGGAGCGTTTGTTTATGGTACTGATTTCAGAGAGAGGAAGGGAGAGGTAGAAAGAAATAGAAACATCAATGATGAAAGAGAATCATTGATAGGCTGCCTCCTGCACACCCTCTACCAGGGATCTTGCCCAAAACCCGGGCATGTGTCCCGCTCGACCTGGAAACCTGGAATGGAACTGTGAACTCCTGGTTCATGGGTTGACGCTCAACCACTGAGCCACACTGGCTGGTCTGATTCTGTTTTATTAGCTATTGTTAATCTGTTACTGTGATTAACTTATAAATTAAAATTATCATAGGTATGTATGTATAAGAAAAAAATAGTTTACACAGGGTTTAGTGCTACCCATGGTTTCAAGTGTCCACTGGGAGTCTTGGGACATATCCCCTGTGGATAACGGGGGACCGCTGCACTTGCCAAGCTGCTCCCTTCTTCACTTTTCTGACCTAGAGGTGTTCAGTTGAATGTGATGCTCTCTACTAGCTGTTCAATTTTCAACATTTTAAAATTCCTTTAACATCTAAAGAAAGAAATCCTATTTGGGGTTTGTTTGGACTGCTTAACTCCATTAAAGAAACAAGTAGCCCAGCCAGCGTGGCTCAGTGGCTGAGCGTCAGCCCATGACCCAGGAGGTCACAGTTCGATTCCAGGTCAAGGGCGCATGCCTTGGTTGCGGGCTCGGTCCCCAGTGGGGGGCGTGCAGGAGGCAGGTGATCCATGATTCTCTCTCATCATGGATGTTTCTCTCTCTCTCTCCCTCTCCCTTCCTCTCTCTGAAATCAATAAAAATATATTTTAAAAAAAAGAAACAAGTAAATTTTTAAACCTTCATTTAATACTTCATAGACTCATTTGAGAATATTTTTCAGCTATTTGCCTGCCTGTGGTTTGTAATTATTAGGTATAACAAATGTATGAAATACTAATGTATTCAGAAAATGTGTGGATCTTACAAAAGCAAATTACTTTAAAAATGTATAAAAATGCATTTCAAAAAGTATCTTTAATATTCATATTAACCGGAATCTGAGATGTTTAAACACCATGTGATTTGTATGGCAGAAGATAGATTGTCTAAGATAACTGGGACCTGACATGATGTTCTGGAGTATATATATCTTGAGAGCCCTTTCACATCACAAAATATTATTTGCATCTCAGTGGAGTTCACCATTAGTATGCACTGTGCAAATTGTTTGTTGGTTACTAAAAAGACATAATACAAAAATATTAATTGAAAAATGTTCTTGGAAAAATGTTACTGGAATGTTTCTAGAGTTGAGACCCCCAGATGAACAATCTTTTTCTGTTTTCCTTTACAGTTTCAGATTCGGACATTTAAAATATGGCTTCCCATTGGTGTTTTGTTAGATATTTATTATATACTATTATACTGATGTAAAACATAATAATGATTTTTATCATATAAATTGAAGATATTAGCTTGATCAAGCTATGTCCTGAGCTAATCTTTTTTTTCCAAGGACTGATGATGGGTGTTTACTGAGTAGGTACAACTTCTAAACCCTTTATGAATAATTACACTTATTAGTGAAATATCAAATTGAGATTAGAATAGAATATATATTTTATTACCATTATGGAAGATCATGAAGTTGACTCACTGGTATAGTAATCAAAACATGTTTCTTTTAAAATATAATGCTTTATTTAACCAAACAACTAAACCTATGTGAGACATATTTGAGAATCAATGGCAGGTACGGATTGGAATTATACCCCTAGAAGCCATCAGACCACATTATACCCCTAGAAGCCATCAGGCCACATTGGGATAGTCCATTTATGTTGAAATGCCTGTCTTCAACAGGCAACATTTATGATTCCTTCTTTATTCTTTTATAGTTAATATTTAAGTAAAAGTAATTTGGTTGCATTCAAATATAGGTGATTATATAGCAATGATTGGCAATTATTTTGTTAAAACAAAATTGTGACTGTAAGGAAATCAGTTTTCCAGAATTAAGCTATTCTTTCTTTTCCCCTTCTAAATAGTTAACACAAATTATGCGAACTGGACAAAATACTTGGGAAAGTAAAAATATTCTTGCTGTTTCATTTGCTCCACTTGTGCAGCCAAGTAAGAATGATAATGGCAAACCAGATTCTGTGGGACTCCGTAAGTAACTGGTCCTTTGCAACTGAACTGTGACTTCAACTCCGATGCTTGGGGTTTAATGGACTCTATAATTATGAAGAATTAAGTAGATATGCAGTAATATATTCATTGGATTTATTCACTTTTCTGTTTAATAAAGCCCTGTCTTGCACCAGACACTGCCTTCATGGAAACATGAAAAGAAGGGACAAGTGAAACAAAAATGAATTCATTAATTATAGTTGTGAGATTATTAATTATAATTTATTAACTTGGTGGCATTTTCCATACAGAGGAACAGCAAACACAAAAGCCTTTATTTAGGCTGAAAAGAGCTTGGTCATTCCAAGACCAGAAATAAGTTTTAGGCTAGTTGAAGCTCACTGGCTATACTGTAGAGCAGTGGTTCTCAGCCTATGGGTCGCAACCCCTTTGGGGGTCAAACAACCCTTTCACAGGGGTCACCTAAGACCATCGGAAAACACATATATAATTACATATTGTTTTTGTGATTAATCACTATGCTTTAATTATGTTCAATTTGTAACAATGAAAATACATCCTGCGTATCAGACATTTACATTTTGCTCATAAGAGTAGCAAAATTACAGTTATGAGGTAGCAACGAAAATAATTTTATGGTTGGGGGTCACCACAACATGAGGAACTGTATTAAAGGGTCGCAGCATTAGAAGGTTGAGAACCACTGCTGTAGAGAATAGATTATATACGACTTTACTTATACTCGAGGAGAGAGTCAGTGTTGATGTGATTATAGGTGGTTGTTTGAAGGTAGAAAAATAGTGGACTATATAGAAGATGGTGTTGGAGGAAAAAGAGCGATCTAAGTTTTACTTGAATAGCTAGCGAGGTGATGGTACCATTTATTGGTGTTTGGAAAACTGGGGGTGGAATGGTTTGGAAATAGGTGTAGGAAGATCAGATATTTTATTTTGGCCATGTTTGTGTTTTCTATTAGCATTATAGATGTTAGGTACTCAAGTAGTGTATACTTACTACAAGAGGGAGGTATAGATTGAGAATCCTGAACATGAAGATGGCATTGTGAGAATGGATGAGAAGTTAGGGGAGAGTGGAGATACAGAGAAGAACTGAGAACAGCCCTGACCGGGTGGTTTATTGTAAAAGGATCCAACGCAGGAACAGCCAGATGGAATTGATGCATAGGGCCAGGTATTGGAGAATAACATAGAGCTTCATGCCTTCTTAGGGTATGTCATCCTCCCAGCACCTCCAGGATCATAGGACCAGAAGCTTTCTAATCACATGGTTAGATTCCCCTGGCAACCAGCCTGCCATGCTTAGGGGAAACCCAAAGGCACCTTATTAATGAAACTCAGGTGGGACTTATTATGAACACAGAAGATATTCCTTTCATCTTTATGATCTTATCATTTAGAAAATTCCAGGTGTTTTAGGAGCCCTGTGTCAGGAATGGGAAGCTAAATGTATATTTCTTATAAATTAAATATCACAAGGGACAAAAGAAACTTCATAAATCTTGGCACTGTACTCCATTGAGCTATATGAAGTTGTTTTGTAGGTTAAAAATGGTTTAAAGTAGTTGGTTTGGGGGTTTGACCTAAATAAAATGCCTTTTTCAATCTTTGTTAACAAATTAAAATGTAAGTGCTGAGTGCTAGGTTCTTATAAAATCTATATAGAGAATGTCTTTTGGGAAACAAGTAGAGTGTACATGTATCTATTAGAGATAATTGTAATTATGGAGTGAAAGCTTCAATCTAAAATAAGATTTTATAGAGTAAGGATTAGTATTACTTGGTTCATTGAATCCTTATCTCATAACTGGAAGCATTAGAAACAAGGGAGTATCAAAGAATAGAAAATGTTGGGGATTTTTGAATGGCTAGGGCTGAGAATTATTTCAGAGTTACTGTGTCATTCAGAAGATCTTTGGGATGAAGTTTATGTGAATGATATTTTAGTACAGTCAAATCTCGGTTCAAATGTTGCCTTTGAGTTTTTAAAATAGATTTATTTCAATATCAAGAAGTATAAAAAATATGTAGAGTAAAAATCTTTCTACTATTCTTGTCCCCCAACTAGTTAATTCTCATGTACTCTGTTTATAAGTTCTTATTTTTTCTTCCAAAGGATTTTTATGAATATACAGAGGGTCACACGTATATCTACACATATCAACCTCTTCACTGTCCACTGTCCTCACCCAAGGATATGTTTTATTGAGTTTAAAGAGAGGAAGGGAGAGAAAGAGAGAGAAACATTGTTCAGTTGCTAGTTGCCTCCTGTACACGCCATGACTAGGGATCGAACCCGCAGCCTTTTGGTGTATGGAACGACCCTCCAATCAACTGAGCCACCTGGCCAGGGCTGTTCTCAGTTCTTAGAATGGTGCCTGGCAGTTGGTAAACTCCTGGAAATCTATGTTAGTTGAAAGAGTTTTTATACTTACTGTTTTCTAACATTCACCAAGAAATACATTTTTTTCTGTGAAGAAATGAATAATATATAATGCTCTTCTTTTTATGTTTTGTGTGTGCTGTGTTTTTATAGCCCCCTGTGCGGTCAGGAATCTGCAGGACTTGGCTCGTATTTATATTCGACGCACACTTAGAAATTTCATAAATGACGAGATGCAGGCCAAGGGGATTCCTCAGAGGGCTCCACCCAAAAGGAAAAGAAAGAGAGTTAAACAGAGAATTAACACTTACGTCTTTGTGGGTAATCAGCTTATTCCTCAGCCTCTAGACAGTGAAGAGGATGAAAAAATGGAAGAAGATAAAGAAGAGGAAGAGAAAGATGACAGTGATGCCATGAAGCCAGAGGAGCCACCTCAGAATCTACTGAGAGAAAAAATCATGAAGCTCCCCCTCCCTGAGTCTTTAAAAGCTTACTTGACATATTTTAGAGAAAAATAACTTAAATCACGAAGAAAGAATGCCTACTGATAATTCCTTAAGTCTTGAAAATGTAGCATTTGTTAGAAGTTAAAGGAGAGAGAAATCTCTCTTACCAGCGAATTACAGTGGAGGGGGGGAGTATAACGTTCTGTCTTACTAATGATGTATTCAGTGATTAAAAATAATCCCTTTTATAAAATATATTTTTCTTTAAATCTTGGAAAAATTGCTGTTTTAATTCAGTGACTTCAAAAGTGGAATACAACAATAGTCAAGACTTTGTGTACTGTAAGTCTTTTTCTGGTTCCCCACAGATTTGTAGTAGTGAGGGGTGGACTTCATTTTATATAAGGTTAAATAATTGTTAAGCATATACAACCTTATTTGAATTGCAGTTTGCCTTTCCTCTATGGAAACTCAAATGCTTTGTAGACCCACTTACCTTCCTATTTTTTGCAATCACTGTTGCTGAGTTACTATAGATGCATTCCGGGCAATATATGAGTGCAATAACAATAAAACATTGAGTAATTTAGCTTTAAAAAAGCTTCATGGAATTCAACAGCACTGCTACTTTTGCTTTTGAATCTATTGCCAAAAGACACGGGGAAAATACCTGCTTCTCTCATAGAGATTTTAAGAGCATACATCAAGTGAACATTAAAGTAAAACGTATATGCTTAATACTCATAATTTGTATGGACCCTTTACATTTTCAGTATTTAAAAACGATGAGGTTATATTACTCTGGAGTTTTAGAAGATAGTATATTTAGGATTGTTTTTTCTATAGTCCACTGTGTAAAGTAGTTGGTTTTAAGAAATCCATTTTCTGTATGACTGTTGATAGCACAGTGAGTGAATGAAAAGCATGAGTGATGGCCTGAGCAGAGTTGGTTATAGCAGGTGCACTTTAGCAAATGGAACTTCTGGTTCATCTGAGTGCTTATCTTTGGCTGAGCTAGTCTACATTTGCTTTGAAATTCACTTTCTAGTATAAGAAATATTCACAGAAATTGTATATAGATGCCTTTTGCTTTGAAAATCTAGTTCCAAGTCATGGTGTAATCTTTGGGACCCACATTGTGCTCATTTAATTTCTTCCCATGTCTCTTGTTTCTTTTGGTAAAATTATAATGATTTTCTTTTTTTTTTTTTTGCTGAATGTCACATAATTAAACTATCATTTGACTGTTAGTTATAGCTTTTCAGTGATAACACAAGTAGTAAATGCCATTTTTTAGTGTCTTTTCATCATACTAGGGCCTGAAATCAGTCATCTTTGTTAAGAAGTTATGCAATGTAGCCTATTTAGTAATTAGTGTCACAAGGATTATGTATTATTTAAAATGAAAAATCTGAGAGTATCACTTGTTACCATCAGCATCACTGTTAAAATAGTTGATCAAATATGCTTCAGGAAATCCAATCAGTGTACAGTGAAAGGATTATCACCTCTGCAAATATTCAATTAGTAATACATAGATGCTTTAAAAAAAATATCAGTTCTGGAAATGCCACTGGTCTAAAAGCAAGTGTTTAAAATATTCTAAGCATAAACGATCCTAAATAAATGGGAACATTTCAGTCACATAAAAGATAATTTCATGGAAGGTGTTTGTTTTATACCAGTGACAGAGGCTAGGAGTTGGGTTGGAGTATCTCCATAAATTTTCTCAGATTATTACTAAACTGTTACTGTTAAACACCTCATGCCATTTCTGTCAAGGAAGTAGTTTTATACAATTGTCATCTATTTTATTTTGAATTAAATATTAGTTTTAGAAGTTTAATCTTGAGTTCCTGGTACTCACGTTTTTTTACCCAGCACCCCTCCACACACAATGGTGGTTTTCGGAGCTGATCCAGATATGCAGACATACATAGTCTTTTTTTTTTTTTTTCAGACGTACATAGTCTTAATGGTGATTTCACTGTCAGGAGAGAGCTTTTATCTAGGCTGACTTTGAAGATTGGCTTTTTCATCGCGTGTTTTAGTCTGTTGACCTTGGCAAAGTGTACAGCAGGTTTTCACGATGGCATGTTTTTGTCGTTGAAATGTATCCTTTTTGATTTTAAATGCATTCATTTTACAGCTGTGACTTTATTATTGACTTTAAAGAAAGAAATAGAAATAAAAACGGATAATTCAACTGAAAGCCCTTTTATGTATTAATGGGAATATATTAGAGTGATTAACAATATGTTGGGTTTGTGTTTATTTTTCAATGCATTCATGTTTACTTGAATATAGGTGATTATGCTTTATAAGTGGAGAAGTAGCAAATAAAAGATGAAGTAAAATTAATTGAAAATGATGAGCATATCATGTGATTGTTATAGCCAGATAAAACAATAGAAATAATCTAACCCAGTAAATTATTTTGCAAGAGAAAGTAGGCCTGGGGAGGTAGCATGATTTCCTAAATCAGACAGCTAGTTGGAGATGGCTCAAAATAGTGTCCAGCATCTGATAAATCCCAGGGAATTTGTCAATGGCACCATAACTACTAAGAAAATAATTTAAATCTGTACTGCTTATTGGTCTATATATTTGGTTCTAGTACCAATAAAGGAAAATGGCATTAAAATGGCACATGTAGTGGTTAAAATAAAATATAAAAATAATGTGTTGGTTTCTAGCTGTCTGAGGGCATAAAAGTTAAGCAAAACTTGTTAAATTGTGGGAAGACTTGGAAAATTATTTTAAATAAACAATTGCATATAATGAAACCATTTCTCAGTGGCCTGGCTTTTTTTTTAATGTAGGAAAACTCAGTACATCTATGGGTATATGCTGCATTACAGTTACAGTGGTCTGTATTTGGACATCTAATATTCCTTCGGCTGTTGCCACCTCTGAAGAGTGTAGGGTTCTTACAAAATTATTTTTGTAAAATATTTAGTAGATATGAAGGATGTTTATAAAATATGTATGAAGCACAAAGAATAATTCAGTGTACATGTCAATACAGCAAATCCTCACTTAATGTTATTGATAGGTTCTTGGGAACTGATCTTAAGCTAAACAATATAATATTAAACGAAACCAATTTTATCATAGGCTAATTGATAAAAATTAAGCTTCTATCTTCTATTTTTGATCACAAAAACATCACCAAACTTCTAAGTAGATCTCAAATCACATCTAATGTTAAACATTGAGATAAATGTGAGTTATACATCCATTTAAGAAAGATGCATAAAAAGAAGACCACTATTTTTCAACCCGCTTATTCCTGTTCAAGGCTGTGGGTGGCCAGGAGCCTCCTGGCAGCTTGGTGCGCGCACACATACAGGGACAATTTAGACATGCCGTACACCTCGTGTGCACATCTTTGGGATGTGGGAGGAAACCAGACTGCCCAGAGAAAACCCACATGGACAGGGAGAGGGAAAACTCCACACACGGTGGCCTCACCAGGAATCTATTTTTCCTCATCAACGTAACCAAACGATGTTGAAGGGAAATACGTTATTCAAGTGTGTGTGTTCCTGCTGTTAGGTGGGCCTACTTGATTTACTATTATCTGTGTGCTCCTTCACAATCTCATCTTAATCCGTCCCTTTTCATGGGTAACCCTTTTGTGTTTATCATGAACTTGCTTTTGCTATAGTCCTTTTATCACATGCACTTTACTGTAAACTTTATATAAGTGGAATCATACTTTATGTATTCTTTTGCAATGCAATTTTCCACTCACATTTACCCTTCTGAGATTCAACTATGATGTATCTAGTTAGGTTACTTACATTCACATCTCACATTTTAATTCTACTGTTGATGGACATGTATTTTCCCCTCAAATAATTCAGTTGTGAACATTCTTCAGCGTGTCCTTGGCTGTATGTGAGCAAGAGTCTTAGTGTGTATATAAAGGAGAATTACTGGGTCATGGAACATGTTTATATTCACCTTTAGTAGATGGTGTAAGTGTTTCCCAGTGTAATAATATATGTTCCTTCTAGCAACATTCAAATGTTCCATTTTTCCATCTCCTCACCTACATTTGGTTCTGATTTTTGCCTCTTTGGTAGGGGCTTTGTGACTTAATAAGGAGGGGTGTGTGTGTGTGTGTGTGTGTGTGTGTGTGTGTGTGTGTGTGTGTGTTTAGTCTCTTCAAGTGTTTCTTGATTTTAGGTTTTCTATAACGTTTCTCATAGTAATTGTAGGAGTGAGAGTGAAAAGGAAGAAATTGGCTTTTTTGGTTTATTGCTACTTAGACAATAAAAGACACATGAACAATGTCCAGAATACTTAAAAGCTTAATTTATTTTAAAATAAATCATTCTTGTTCATGGAGATTAATTTTTTTCTTCTGATCTTCATGTCTTAATCAAAAACCCCACATGTTTAAGTTTGAACATTCTGCCGAAAGAGGGCAGTATTCACCTACAGTAGAATGTAAAGGGACAAGAAAATTACTGGAGAGAAGGCCAATGAATTTATTTTTTCCCATAAGGTTGACAAAATTCGATAAGCTAGCTCTCCACTCACTAGATTTGTCTCCCAGTCCAGTCATCCGGGATGGTCGCCTAAACTGGACCATCCATGTTTCAATTTGTTTTTCTATTACTTTTACAGTTTTTAAAGTGCTAGTTTAGGATGAAATTTGTTTGAAAATTTCAGTCTTTAAAGATAAAGCCAAAACCCTCCTTAGATAACTGCTTATAGAGTGACCAAAAAATACGCGTTGAACTGCGAGGCATATTTGCTGAAGAAGGCTGCTCTTTTCACCAGTGTGTCCCCAAAGGGGGGCCACTCACCTCAGTGCAACAGGGCCAGGGCCGGTTAAAACTGCTCACAAAAAACAGTCCGGCCACCAGTGCTGAGGCCAGAGGTTGCTCAGAACCAGCCTGGTTCTGATAGGGACAGAAATAGGATGTTGGGGAACCAGCTAGAATGGTAAGAAATATTAATCATGCTCTATTAACCATGATTGTTTTGTTCTGATTAAACAAGGCACATTCTAACTTGGCTGGCAGCTGCACTCAGGACCTGGGAGCTCACCTGGGTCAGCCCTTCCTCCCCGTTTGGAGCTGCCTGTTATTTGGAAAGCACTAATTTAAGTTCAGAGTGTGGTTCCAATTTATTATGTGCTGGAAACTGCATTTATTCTGTTCATTGTTGGGCTTTGTCCTGCATGTGCCTCCCAGGTGGGTGATGGTCTCAGCCTCAAGCTCATGAAACACTATTGGTTTTCCAAAGCAGACCCTCCAAATCGTCCCGAAGAATACAGGGTACATAAAAGCCTTACTGAACAACAAGTAACAACTAATCCGCGCACCTAGGAGGCACTGTGGGATGGGAGAATAAACCAGAACTTAGGAACCAAATGGGTCTGGGTTCAAGTCCTACTTCCTTGAAAATGACATATATATGGTCCATCAGCTTCCTGGTAATTTAAGCATTTTATTTTTATTGCTTGAAAATATCAAGCGAAGTCTCACTATAAAAACTAGCAAGACAGTGTCTGGAACATTTGACCAGATCTTTGCATTGTCAGAGCACAGCCCTAAAGGGACCTTCATGCTAGGAAACACCCCTGCCAGTTCCTGTCAGGTAATATCAAAGCCTTTAGTTAGAGATGGGATAGCCTGTCCAATCAAGTGCCATGGACTTACTAGTAAATAAAATAAAATACTATGTAAGGTCCAATTGGGACTCAGATTTTGCTTTTCAGGTTTTTC